ATTTTATTTATTTAAAATACTTTTCTTAAAAATATGATTTTTTATATGTGAAAGACTTGAAATATTAACTGAAAGACTGCCAAATTTTGTGAAGGTATACACACTATTGAAAGTTAGAAGTATTTAATCTACAAAAAGTTTGTGGTCAGTCAAATTGATCGAGCCCAAGTTGAGAGAGTTAATATTCTGATTGATATGTTGAGATCAAAAGAAATCTGATCCACTGAACTTACAAGAAAAAAGCAAAATGCAAATGGATTTTGTCAACCACAGTAGAACTTGTATTTTCAACCAGGTTTTTGAGTTGGTTGGTTGTTTTTGGCTGAGTGGAGGAGAGTATATCAGCCTTGATGCAAATAGGCTTTATATCATTCATGAGTTGGTTCTTTGTGCAAATTTTCACAAAAAATTTTACTTTATTTTCAGGAACCTTGAATTGTGCAGCTTTCATAGCAGGTATGATTGAGGCAGTGTTGGTGGGCTGTAATTTTGTAAGTAGTCTTTGAACTATAACTACTCATACATTTTTCACATCGTTTTATTTCCTTACTAAACTATATTCATCTTGTATTGGAATAAAATCGTGTAAAATCTTTTTTACTGTTGCGTTAAAATTGGATTAGCTCTAGTAAATCTATTATCTGTTGAACTAAACCGATCATCAAGAAAATGCAACATTTAAATATATTAAAATTGAAAATTTTAGAATATTCTAAAATTCCAGTGAGCATATCAGTACTTGTTGGTTTTTTTTTTATGTATGGTTCTATTGAAAGGGACAATAAAGATTTTAAATATTTCTATCAACTCTCACGACTGGCAGGTCAAAATACACGTGTCATGAATTTTTTTAAAAATTACGTTCAAAATTTAATTAAACTATTTATTATCATTAAGTATGAATAAACTTGGCATCAAAGCATAGTAAACAAATCACATTTTAATATTATACGAGCTTTAAGCTTTTAATTATATAAGGAAATTTTTTGAAAATCCTTAATCTCTCCTAGTATGGGAGTTGTAACATATGTTTTCTAAATCTTCTCTCTTTTCTAATTTATTTACCACCCCTCCAAAAAATATGAAATTTCATGTAAGTTACTCATGATAACATAGATATTACTAGGAGAAAGCATAATTTTTATAGCCTTCGGTATTGTATGTCTATGGAGCCATAGGCTAGAAAATCAGACCCACTTGTCATGCCCACCTGTCACACCTTCTCTCTCACAAATTGCCAATAGTTCTTTCTGTTGTTTAATACTATATTATTTATAATTAACAAAAAGCCAATGTTTTAATATATCAAATGACGTATTCTATTACATTGTTTTCCGTAAGGGCATTGTATGTTTTGTTGTCGAGTTACAAATTTATTCTCACAGTTATAGCATTGATGAGCTTAGCTCAGTATTTAAATGCTCTTGTCATATTAGTCAGAAAGCCAGAAAAATTATGATAGTTACAGGACATTGTTTGCTTTTTGCATGTTATTATTCTGTGTTTGTAGGTGTGGTATTTAATTAAGTAAAAAATATTTACTGTAGTAGTACCATTAGTATTAAAAGTGGGGCTAAAGTTTCATCGACAGTCAATAGCAAAAAAAAAACAACTAATATCCAGATGATTACTGTATTTGTTGTTTTAAATGTGTATTATTTAGTTATTATCATAAAACTAACTAAAATTTAAAAAGTAGAAACATTTTAGGTTTGATTAAGTAAGATAATGAAAAATAAATACTACTTCATGAGCTATGCACCTGAGCAACTTGTGTATTGAATATTGATTTATAACTTGTGTGGCAGGATGATTAGTCAGATGCTGTTCAAAGGGGAAATAAAATTTAAGTAGAAACAGTTGTATACTGTTATGAACTTTAAGTTATTTAGGATAAACTACTCTAGTTCCCTATTAAAACTTCCAGTCATTCTAGAAAGAAAAAAGTGTAATTTAGATTTATTTTGTATTTTTTATGGTGGTTACAAGGTCGGTCAAATTGACCATATGCGTATAGAGTTAGGGTAGAGAAAATAAACAAATGAAATATAAAGTTTTACTGAAAGAAAAGGAAGTTTTAGAGGTTACAACAAATGAAATTTGACAATTTTCAGATGAAGAAATCTTGTAATTTTAACATAAAAATCACTTTGCACTTGGAGCAGTCAATACTTTGACTCCATATATTCACAGATAAATTTTTAGTAAAAATACTTAATTAAAAATTCAGTTTTTTTTGTGTGTGTACAAAAAGACTTGATGTTTATTGAAAGTTTGAAAAATTTTGTGAGACACACAAAACATTAAAACGATGATGGTCACTTAGGGGTTATGAACTCTGTTAAATTGGCCGAGTCCATAGCAAGAGAGTTAAGGACTCCATTTGAAATTTTTCAGATAATCTTACGAAAATTAGAATAACCTGCTAGTAAATCCTTAGCATTAATTTTTTTATTTCAACATAGCCGGCAAAAGTGACGGCCCATTGGCATAAAGGAACCACATTCATGATCAAGTTTGAAGAATCGGTGATTGCCCGAGAAAAAACAGCTGAAGGGAGATGAGATCCTGAAGGAGTAAATTATTATATGAATGTTTTAGTCAAGCAATGTTATGGTAGAGTACGATTTTATCGTGAATTATATTGTTTTGTGATACGAGTAATATGACAACTGTTCACACATACGAATATGATTTTTCTTGCATTGTTTCCATTCCAATAGTATATAATACAAAGTATAATAACCCGTGTCTTTAAATAAAAACTGAGATATAAAATGGCAGTTTTGTTATGTTTTCTGTTTTAAATATAATTATGGGTGTTATTAGTTGTTAATTGTTCATGCGATAGCTGGGTACGACCTACTGTTTAGTGTGTCGGCTGCGGATTGGAGTTTCCAGGACTCGAGATGTGATGCTGCTGAAAACACACTTCACATTTTCAGCTGTAGATTTATCAAAAAACAACAGTCAGTTCTGTTAATTGGTGCCAAGAAGTGAACAAAACCTTTGTTGTTGGTCAATGCTGCTGGCTGACTGTTTTCCTTCTGGTCACTAGTAGTCCAAAATTAGGGATGGCTATACTTGAAACCTTGGGGTCTTTGACCTGACTGTCTAGCCCATGTGCATAAGGCACTGTTCAAGTTGAAAATTACAAGTCTGGTGTTCACGAAAAACAAAAATAGTCTATGTATGCTGTTCTTGATATCTTACACTGACGTGCTCTTTATTCATTAAAAGTAACCGGAAATCTTTACTTTTTCTAAACTTGTATACTGTAAAGTAGTCATTTAAAATATCAATCAGTTATTAAACAGGACAAACAAATGAAAAAACATAACCTTTATGATATATTGAACATGGAAATGTTTCTGGCAGCACAAATGGAAACAAACTGGGAAAACCCCCTTCTTTGCGCACTCGTTTTAATTATACGTGACGTGAACTGAAAATTGAGATTATAGCCATCTAGATCAGTGTTTCCCAAAGTGAAACTCTTTCTGCCAAAAAAAATGGGCCGAATACAAAGCTGCCGAATTAATTTTAATACTAAATAAACAATAGGCCCATAAAGATTATGTTGAATTAATTAAATGATTCAGTATGTTGAAAAAGAGATGTTATTGTTTTTACTACGGCATTGTTTCTCAATCACCTTGCTAAACTAGTGGGTGAGTAAATATCTTAAAATCACATTTGAAGGCATTTTTATAGGTTGGGGGGGGGGGCTCAAACTTTTTTATTCACATCAAGGGAGCTTTAGTCTAAAGGAGTTTGGTATAGATCATACAAAGATGGCAGTGTAAAGCGGGCTATTTAAGAAAACATTCATAATTATTTATAAAAAATCATTAATTATATTACATTTTTTAATTTACGGTTACTCTGCTACCAATAATTAGTCATTGGTTAGTTACACATAACTAATAATCAAAGATGATGTTTTAACCATTTTATACCACTATTAAACTAAACATCTTTCAGTTTACATCTGACTGTTTTAATGATGATGAAAAACAAAGCCACTAATAAACACAATATTATGTCATTCTTAAAAGTTTTGGTTTTTCATTGCTCCAATAATGTTGGTGTGCTGGATAATTGGAAATAAATATTTATTTTAATAACCAAATGCTTACATACAGAGTACAGTTTCTACATTTCAAGAAGTCAGCTAGGTGTGGCCTTAGTGGTTAGTATGCTTGGTCTGTGAATTTTAACGTTTGTGTTTCGTGTTCTACTGCCATAAAAGAACAGGCTCCATATTTCTGGGCTGTGGGTGTACTGTTAGACTGACAGTCAAATCCCATTATTTGATCTCACAAGAGTTGCTGGTAGATGTTGTAGACTAGCTGCCTACCCTGTTGTGTATGAGCTCAAAATTAGGGATGGCTGTGCACAGCTAACCCTTGTTTAACTTTGCATAAAATTCTCAAAAGAAATGAGAAAGAAGACGTGTTGCCATTTTTTGGTAGGAACACCAATGGTACAAAACAGAAATGTTAACCTCAGCTATTCCAGTGCTGGTAAACTTCTATATATTTTTAGATTTTTATTAAAATATAATTTTTATATTTTAACCCTTTTGCTATGGTTAGGGTTCAGTGCACATCATTGCATTGTGTACACTTACATTCAAAATTTGATTAATCTAATATTTGATGAATGTATGTAATATCAATAGATCTGGTATCAAATTTTAGTTTATAATTCAAGTTTTAGTATTATGCATTATTTAACTTCTTAGTTCAAGAGTAAATATTAAAAATAAATAGCTATAGTAATTTATAATTTTTTTTTCGTAATCCAAAATGCACACATAAAATTTAGAAAAATTAATTTTTCTATTTACTTCGTGAGGGAAATTTGACGAGGCTAAGCAAGTATGATGCACAAGTACAAAAGACTTTGTAACATCGTCAGTAGTAGAGATTGTTGTTTTCTTGATATTTTCATTTACTGTTCTGTGTTTTAAGAAAAGTAACCGAAACTTAAGAATTTATGCTATGGTAAACAAAATGTTAATGTATGTCACAAAATACTGGTATGCTAGTACTAACACTAAGAAGCATAAGAGGTAAGCCAGTTTTATGCTATTCGATATATAATGTGAGCTGCATGATTTACAACTTATTTGGTGAGATTATTAGTTCGATATGGTTCAAAAGTAAAAACAAAGACAAAAAATTTATAAATTTAACTAGAAGTATACTGTTACGAACTTTAAGCTATTTAGAATAAACAACTGTGATTTCCTGTTACAATTTGCAGTCATTCTAGAAATAAAAACGATTTATTACTTACTTTTTTATGGTGGCTACGAGGTTGGTCAAATCAACCAACCTCCTAGAGAGTTAGGGTGGAGAAAATGACAGAAAAAAATATAAAGTTTTTCTTTAAAAAAAATGTTCGATATTCATTTAGGTGGTTTTAGAGATTATGCCAATGAAATTTGACAATTTTCAGATGAAGAAAAATATTTTTAATCTTAAAATCAAAATCACTTAGCACGTTAGATAGTCAACATTCGAAAAGCAAAAATTCACAACAAATATTTAATTAAAATACTTAACTAAAAAATCTGATTTTTTAAAAATACAAAACCCTTGTAATATTTACTGATAGTCTGTAAAATTTTATGGAGATACACTCACATTATCAAAAGTTACAGTATGACTAATTGCATGGTTAAGTGGTTATGTAGTAGGTGCGATACACCTACCCATAGTTAAAGAGATAAGAAATATATTTTATAATTTTTTATTAAAATATAATTTTGTTATTTAACAATGGGTATGATATATTGAGGATGGATTAATTCAGAAGGACTTGAACATGGTTGATGAGTTGGCAAGAATTTGGGTTTCAGTAGTCATAGGTGTAAAGTCATACACTTTGGACTTGAGAAATGAGGAAGAACTTTTATCCTTTGTGAAAGAAACATGGATGTCAAGAGAGAGGAGAATTTATGTGTCGGTTTCATTACTGGCAAAAGTTGTAATACTTCAGCAGATGTAAAAGAAGGAATTACAGAAGTCTGTTTTATTTTAATACAAATGTTGAACTTGGGTTGAAGAAGGTTATTATCTACTTATATAAAACCCACTTTTTTTTTTTCTTGAAAAGTTTGGTGTTCACACTGCACACAAAAGAGATAACTGGCTAAGCCTTTGCTCAAGAAATCTTAACTCAAAAATGAAAGGATTTAAAATCTTGGACTTTTTAGTTGAATGTAGCAAGACAAGAAGTCATTTGATTCGGATGTTTCAGATTGTTGAGGGCATGGATGTGTATTGAATTCATGATGATTAAAATGAAACAGGAAATACACGTGAATTTTAAATCTAGACTTGCTAAAACATTTGTGCTTAGGGTTGCAGCATAGGGAATGCTTGCCTGAAAATTTGGTATTTGCTGTTAGATTGAATTTGATCAAATGCTAGTTGAATACGTCCACTGGATGGTTGCTTTTGTTTTGACTGGCATAGAGAAAAACAGTGACCTCGTTTAATTAAAACCTGCGGTTTCCAGGTTTACAAACACTGTTCGAGTATGAATTTTTTTAATAACTGTCCATACATTTATCGACAGATAGCAACCCTGGTATACTTGATGTGAAGGGCTACACCATAATTATTGATGACTGCATTAAAAAACCTTGGAGCAAATGCAAAAGAGAAGTATTTCATGTGAACCTAGCCGTGTATTAAGGATTCTATAATAAACAAAAGACTCTTGTGTAGTGAAATGCCATGTAATTATATCTTCTGTGTGTATTCCCAAGAAATCAAGAATGAAAGCAAGGTAGAGTGTGTAATAATATATCAAACACACTACATCTGCAATATCCATGGCCAACTAAGCCTTTTTCCCAATACCAGGGCTCATTCAGCTGACTGGAACACAATAGACATCATAGTGGCTGAGGGGCTATTTATATCATTAATATCACAAACAACAATGGTTATGATGTGAACTAGACCAAGTAGGGGCTATTTATATCATTAATATCACAAACAACAATGGTTATGATGTGAACTAGATGAAGTAGGGACTATTTATATCATTAGTATCATAAACAACAATGTTATGATGTGAACTAGACCAAGTAGGGGCTATTAATAGACTAAGTAGGGACTATTTATATCATCAATATTTACAAACAACAGTGTTGTTATGTGAACTAGACCAAGTAAAGGTTGGGTTGGATATGATAAAATACTGTTACTATAGGTAGTCTTATTTTATTGAAGGACAGTGTAGCTTGGTTTGGATATCTTATTGGTTGTTGGGATCCTAACTGGTTGAATGGGGTTGGCTATATTATTGTTTGTTGAGATCCTTATGGATTGAATGGGTTTGGATATTGTACTGGTTGTTTGGATCCTGATGGGTTGAATGGGTTTGGATATCTTACTGGTTGTTGGGATCCTAACTGGTTGAATGGGGTTGGCTATCTTACTGTTTGTTGAGATCCTTATGGATTGAATGGGTTTGGATATCTTACTGTTGTTGGGATCCTGATTGGTTGAATGGGTTTGGAAATCATACTGATTGTTTGGATCTTGATGGGTTGAATGGGTTTGGATATCTTACTGGTTGTTGGGATCCTAATTGGTTGAATGGGTTTGGATATCTTACTGGTTGTTGGGATCCTGATTGGTTGAATGGGTTTGGATATCTTACTGGTTGTTGGGATCCTGATTGGTTGAATGGGGTTGGATATCTTACTGTTTGTTGGGATTGTGATGGATTGAATGGGTTTGGATATCTTACTGGTTGT